ATGCGTATCAGCCTCCCAAGTCCACAGCAGAATTGTAGAGAGAAGAAGCCGGGTCACCCAGCAGGCCAAACCAACCATGCTTTGGAAGCCTGACGGAGGTGAAGGAAAACAAGCACCGAGAGGCCAACTCCTGCGCCCACAATTGACGAAGGTCGAAAAAACCCTTGCGAACCCCACGGGATCGCGAACAAGGAGAAGGGACTTCATGTTCACACCCGAGTAACACACAAGACGTGCCGAAGTGCAATTCTCTCTCTCTCTCTCTCTCTCTCTCTCTCTCTCTCTCTCTCTCTCTCTCTCTCTCTCTCCCAGCTTGAACGCGGCCGGGATTACGCAACGCGGAAGCATGCATCGAGTACGGGAGGCATGCTACTCCAACCTCCGCCTGCCCGTCGTCCCAACTCATGATATTTTCACACGCCCGTCGCTGCATGTAGTAGATACCCCGGGCGCTCCGCCGCCCCCCCCTCTCTCACCAACGGGATTCCCATCGATTCTGCGGCGTCTAAAAGGGTCTTCATGCTTTCCACCAGGTTTTCTCGGATAGCTGCTCCCGCCGACAGACAGTGTACCGAGGAGCGCATACGTGGATACGGACGAGAAAGGGATAGAGAAGAACGTCGGACAACGAAAAAAAAACGACCATGGAGGCCGGCAAGCATAAAATTACTCGTATGTAGCAAGCATTCCTGCTGTGGTTCATCTCATTAGTTTGTACCGTCTTGGGTGTACAGGTGTGGCACTTTTTTCGGAATTGTTGGATACAAGAGTTTGTGTCGTACTGAGTACTGAACGCACACGTGATATTATACAAGTACAGTGGTGACGGTACGGCTTAAGAGAGGGTCGGCACAAGCCAGAATCTCTCTTATACGGTTCGGAAATCCTGTTCAAAAATGTGTAATTTCCCATTCGGAAAAAAAGACCAACGTGTCGATCGAGACGCTTCTTTTATTATAGTGCAGTCGGTTCTTTTTTTTGCACTGCTGGCTAGGAATACGGCCGTTCGTGCTTTTTTTATTTCCATTTGCTACCCGGGTACCACCTCATCATCCGGTCGGTGTGGTTTTTCGGGGATCTCTGTGCACTGAGTGAAACAACAGCAAACGCATAGTAGCTGTGCGTATGGTGCCTCATGTGGGGTGGTTGCTACAGACCGTGACGCTGGGTGGTTGAGAATTGAAGTTGGCGAGAGGGGCAACTGCTGTTCGAAAAAGACCCCCCGCTCGAAAAAACACAGCCTGCGACAGATTTTTGCTCCATCACAACTTTAGCCTCGTGGCGACCCCTCTCCACTAACCGAACCAGCAGATACCACAAGGCCATCCGCCCGTAGCTGTGTGTATGGTGCTTCTAGTGATGTGGTTTTCAGAGACCATGACGCGCTGGGAGGCTGAGCAACAAACTTGGCGAGGATAGACTGACTGCTGTGTTGTTCGAAAATGACATCATCATCATCATGCCACTCACTGCTGTACAGGATTCTCGCCGTGTCACCGGTGGCGCTGTAGCTATCCCTCTCCATTGACCGAACCAACAGCAATGACACAGCCTCTCCGACAGAGAGCAGTTGATGGAGCTCACACCCCTCTCAAGTTTCAGCAGCAGGGGTGAAATAGCGAGCGAGAAAAGGAACATATCGTCCATCGTCCATCGATGTGGTGTGTTGGGGTGATGCCGCGTCTCTTTGAGGGTCTGGTGTGAGCAAGCGGTGTGTGTGTCAGCTGGCCAACATTTTGCTTTGAGCGCAACTGACCACACGACAACTGACCACATATAAACGTCTAGGATGGCAACACAGCACTCCGAGGGTTGCTCGGAGCCCTTGATGAGCTCGCTACGACCAGTACTTGCTGCGCAATCGATGTTTGTGTCCGTGTGGTGTGCATTTCCAAACGCAAAAATCAAACGCGCCATCCGATCGAAAATTGTCATCATTTCCAAGCGCATGACCGGTTGGAAACGTGAAATCAAAAATGTTCAGGCGGAAAAGTGTCATTTCTGATCTTATAATAAACAGTTTTGGGTCCGGATTTGGAAATGCACATTTTTGAACTGCATTTCCGAACGTTGTAAGAAACCGCCTCACATCCGGTTTTCTCTTAAACCGGTTTAAGAGAGAAATCCTCATAAGCCGTAGCCAATGACGCTAGACCGTTTTATAGCGGATGCCTTGCTTACACTGCAATATGAAGATGCTCATGATGGAGGACATGAAATATGTCGTGTCAAAACACTGCGTCGGGGGCTTGTTGTGCTTGCTCGGCACATACTGAACATTCGGCTCACCTCCCGTACATGGGGGCCCAACAAAAAATAACTAAATTATTTCGCGCGAAAACGAACGGGCGGCGAGAGAGACGCAGGTGTACTGTAGATAGGTACCAGATGATATGGATCGGGCCTCACAGAGAGGTCACCACTGCTAGTGCACACGCTCACACCTCACCCAACACCATGAGTCAGCCGTGTACGCAGGACTGCAGCTGTTTAGCAGCGCGGGGACGAGTGAGAGTGTTTGTTGTGTGGTGTGGACGAAGCTCTCATAAATCAGCTCGTGCTGGTGCTGCAGCTGCTGCTGCTGCCGCTGAGTGGATGTGCACCACTTTCTTCCCTCGCTTACACTCATGGCAGCGGAAGCGGGCTCTAAAGATCGCCCCCGACGCCTTGGTCGCCTTGGCCGGCAGCGTGTGCACATCTCATTGTCTCTCTGTTTTCGGGCGCGGCTGTTGTGGATCAAAAGAAGATCGGCCTGCAGACAGACCGACAGGCGAAGATAGTCGTAGATTGATTGACTTGTGTGCACTTGCTTCACTCGCTCACACGCTGCTAGCAGCAGGCAACGGGCTTCAAAAATAGCCCTCGATGCCTCGTATGATGTGTTCCTTTGGCCGCCTTGGCCTGCAGCAGTTTGCACGTCTCATTGTCCCTGTTTTAGGGGTGCTTTGCAGCAAGCTCAAAAGATCGGCCTGCAGATAGATGACAGCAGAATGAGGCAGCAGCTGCAGCAGCAGATTTGACCTGTGTCGCCTCCCTCGCTTGTGGTGCTGCCGACAGCAGCCAACCGGCGCTGATAGTATTCGAACCCGACCTCCTATATAATGTGCGCCTTTGGCTGCCCTCGGTCCACAGCAGTCTCGTGTGCTGCTGTGCTACGTCTTTCGGGGGATTCCCGCTCGGCGGCGTGGCCATCAACCAATCATCTGTCTCTGTCCTACAAAATGTCCCACATCATCTACATGTGATTGGTGGGAGGACGGGTACCCGGTTCTACCCCTCTAAAACATAGATGTTTTATTTTTGTTCCTCTGGTCCAACGTATGGGTGCTTTGCCGAACATTCAAACAAAACAGCGAGCCATGAAAATAATTTTGGAGACAGCTATCTACAATGTAACAACGTGTCGGATATATCAAGGGTCTTTAGTCTCAGATTGATCAAAAGACGCGTTCGATCGGTCTGAACAAGCAGAAACGGGCAAATCCGCGGGGGCATCCGTAGAGTGCGCCCGCCATTGCACTGTACTCGGGGGGTAGAAGGACACAATCATCGTTGTTTACTCGAGGATACCGGCGAGCAACAAGTGCGGCATGCACAGCCCCACGTTTGTAAGGCAGGCTAAGGTAGCGTGGATGGGTCGACGAAAGCAAAACAGACGCGCACGACTTCATGTAACGTGGCACAATGATGGGAGAGAGATCTAAGGCCGGGACCGAGGGGGCGCACAGACAGCTAGCTAGCTGGGTCGCAGACACGGTGCATCTCGTCGTTCTGAGGTTCTGACCCTGCATTGGTGCGCCGTTAAGTCTGGCGGGGCTGGTGTGTGATGGGAGACACTCAAGCAACGGCTGCCCGCTGCACAGCAGGGCGTGGTGCCTACGGTTTTGGGTGTGTGTGTAAATGTGCGGCATTTCCTCCGTCGGGGGTTCGACTTGAGAGAATACGACTGGAATGTGGCAATCTCTCTTCTATATCGGCCAGAGGCTTAACAAGCCAGTTCTACTCTCATAAACCGTACTTTCTCTTCAACAATTACACTTTTTTGTCTTTCTATATTTTTCTTTCGTTCTTTTTCTTTCGTTCTTTCATCCCGTTGCACCGGGGTCGATCGTCTGTGTCCCGGTTTCGTTAGTTTTTCTTTTTCGTCGTGTGGGTACTTGTAGAAAACAGAAACAAGAAAACAAATCTCGCCTTGGAGGACTCTTCTGGGGTCCATTTTTATTTTTTTATATTTAGAAAGGTGTACCCCCCTATGGGGAGCAGTTGGCTTGTGACCACGGAAGGCGTCCGCGCCAGTTGTACTGTTATACTAGTACAAGGGCTCCGGACGCGGGGGGCTACCGCCCCCCCCGTCCTTCGTTTTGGCTGGTGCTCTATGCGGAGAGGGAAACGTCGGGGCGTTGAAACACATACCAAGTGGGACGTGCTTGATGTGGTCAGGATATGATTTAATTATTTTCCCGAAGAAGGCAGCTCGTGGACCACGAAAGAAAAAACACCACAAACTGAAGATTTGACCGGAACTATTCTTCGGCGCAACGTGAAGTACATACAATCTCGATATGCGAGATTTTTGGACTTGCGATGCACACCGAAAGCATTACGCGGCGTACCGTGTGAAACCATTTTGCCGTAAAGTAGAGCTTAGAAGGTGGCTCTTATACATATTGTTGCAAAGGAAACGCCACAGTCGCAACTCTACTGTGATACTCCAGTATGTACTCCATGTGATACTCTAGACTACGGTCTTACAATCTCGATATATAAGCGAGATGTTCGCACTTGCAATGTCCACCGGAAGCATTACTCGGCGTTCGGTGTTAAAACCATTACCACCGTGAAGTAGAGCTCTGAAGACGGCTCTTACATGGTAAGAAGAAAACGACACAGTCCCAACTCGAATGTGATACTCTATGAAGTCTAATGTGATACTCCAGACGAAGGCGCAATCTAGGCCGGAACTATTCTTCGCGCTATGTATTCATGCAAAGTTGAAAATGTAAAACTTACAATGTAGAGCGACAGCGTTGTTCAGACGCAATCGGGAACGGCAAACGGGTCCCGTGGGAACCAATCGTTAGCGTACACTCAAAATGTAGCCAACACTTACACACACACACTCATCTTTTGAAAGTGGTAGCCGACACTCACTCTAAATGTACTTGGCATCTACACGTGCTACATACATACATGTCTAAGCCGCTTGTCTAAGTAAATGTGGTACGTGGCAACATAAGGTACTCTGAATATGATGATGTATTTACTACGTGGTTACTTACATGTCTAAGTCCAGGATAAATCGTTCGTGAGAAGATAGGTGGTAGTACGCAAAGTTAAGAAGGAAACCGAACGACACCGAGAGGCATTTAATTCGCGCAAAAAACTAACCACGAAAAAGATAGAAAGGTCAGGCAGTGACACGGCGTGCCTGGAGTTTACATGGCTACATCATAGGTGTTGCGAAGCCGGCGACATGCAACACCGAAAGACACAGAAAAACGAAGATAGATCAGGCTTGTCACACAGCATTCGTAGCGTTGATGGTCTACTTCCGTGCTGTTGTTGAAGAGGATTCCTGCCTTGGTAGCAAGAGCATCGTTGGAGGAAGAAGACCTGAGAGAGGTGGTGAAGACAGTCCCGTCCAGTAAGATCGCTTGTTCTTTACAGTCCCGAGGGGAGGGAGGGGTCCGAGGTGGAGACGCAGGTGCGACGACGTGGTTTTGAGCCGTCCCGCCGGCGCGTGCAGCTCGCCCGTCGCCGGCCGCTCGGAGCCCCGAGCGGCGGCGTCTCTCATGAGCCTTTTTTTCTTCGTGGAATGTTTCTTAATTGAGGGCCCGTGCTGTAAGCAAGCATCTGACCGCGCTAACCGGCTGACCAATGGAGACGTCAGTCGCAGTGCGGTGGAAACACACAACGCGCATTTTCTACAGTAAACAATCTGGGACCCTGTGACCGAGTGTCACGGGGGAGTCTACGCTACTCTCCGGATTAAAGACAGATAGATACCGTATAGCAACAGAAGAAGAAAACTGCACTTACTTACTTGTTTGCCTTGTTATTGGCTACTACTTTGGGTGCGCGTGGGTTGCGCTTTGACCTGTCTGTCTTTGTGTGCAAGTGTGGCTTGTACCATAGCAACATACAGCCGAGACTGCATACCACAATACAGCAACATACTACATAGTCTACAGCAGTCAGTCTAGATCAGCTCCGTAAAGTTTAATGTTCGCACACTACACACACACCCGGTGTCTGTCGTCCTCCGGACCACAACTTGCTGTACATACACACCGCAGAGAGATCCAGCACACACAGCTGATCACGAGAAACAAACATGAGCGAGATGCATGTGATGTGTTCCGAGTTCCGAGAGCCAGTTTTTTCTGTCACAATGAATGCCGCAAGTTGTCATTTATTTCCGGAAGTTTGTCCGCACCGCACCCGCAGGTGGTAAAGTAAACAGTCCACCAAACACACTCCTCATGCACCATGGCTAAAGTAAGTGCACGAAAGGTAGGAACATGGGGATGTACCGCATGTATGTGTGTGTATACGTACACGATCCCCGATACATGCGTGCAGTAACGTGCGTCACGTGCACGCGGTTGTCATTTCTTCTTCAAAATTCATATTCCGAGATAGGTTGAAGTTCGTAAAAAACACCGACAGCATGGTGAAGAATGAAAGAACACACGTCCGTCTGTATTCTTTGAGGTCAACAGCTTGCCGCACGCGCAATCCCAGCAGCATCGCGCAGCTGCAGAAAAAAATGCCGGCAGCACCACTCACAGCAAAGTTGCATCTCTCAACGCGCCATGCCTAAATCGGTCACGAAACAACAAGATATTACCACATCCAGTGCATGCATGCACAGATGCGTGTTGCAGTGCACAATGCACAGCAACAGCAACAACGCAACAACACACCACACACGTCGCTTCAAGTTCTCAAAAACACGGAAAGAGGTTAGCCACCAATCGGATCGCTGATTCTTAGATTGGAGCGACAGTCCCGAGCGGAGGGGCCCGAGGTGGAGAGAAAAAGTGCGACGACGTGGTTTTGAGCCGTCCCGCCGGCGCGTGCAGCTCGCCCGTCGCTGGACGCCCCGAGCCCCGAGCGGCGGCGTCTCGCTGAGAGGGGGCTCCCGGAGGGCTCCGCGGAGCGGGAGGTCGAGCGGCGGCCCCGGCGTCGCGCGCGAACACTCGACGCTAAACGTGTCGACTTGAGAGTAGGCGCGATCCCGCCGCTTCGCTCTCAGGCGCGGAACGGAGGCCTGCGGCGCGCCCTCAGGCTTGAGCTAATTTTCCTTACCTCTTTAGTACGGACATTAGAAGGTACTGAGTGGAGACCGGAACAATTTTTTAATGTGAAGACAACAACAACAACAACAACAACGTCAAACCTTAGCCACCACTGCAGCTACTGCTGTTTTTGTCGGGAAAAAAAGAAATGACCGAAAGTACGCATACCGCAAGCAGAGCCGGCCGGTAGCGGCAACGCTGATTGTATCATAGCATACATCGATTTCAACATTTGTCAAGGTTTGACCACAAAGTATTAACAAACGTGAAAGATCACAATCAATGAGCCTTGGTTACACATTGATAGGAACTCTTTAGGACTAACCGATGTTGAACGTAGCAAGGCTAGGTTCTTCACGCGAGCAAGGCTAGGTTGCTCACCCCACATCTACCATAACCCTAACCCTCACCCACGGCCAAAGCACGGCCTGGCGGCCGCGAACTGGGCGGCACGTCGCTGCGCCGCGTGCTCGGAATGCGGAACGGGGAGAGGGCGCTGGAGAGGAATCGGCCGCCAGAACCAACGCCGAACAACGCCCGACCAATCAGAACGCGTTAGTCCTAAAGATCTACTTATCAATGTGTAAACACTACACTCCAATCAATCCCTGATGGGTTGAACACAGAAATGGAAATGGTGAACAAATATGACCAGGTCTTCAGCAGTATCAACTCAACTCCTTCCTTGCAAAACAAAAAGCTCCGGACTTGAAAAAAGAGTCGTGTTTGTGAAAGAAAAAAAAAAGAGGCGTTGAGAACTGTTGGTGCAAGGTGAGGAAAATAATAAAATAATTGTGAATTGGTCCTACTGCTGTACCGCAGTAGAGTTCTTGTTCTGCTTAGGAAAAATCTATGTAAGTATGCTATAACCAGCTGCGTATATGAGAACGACGTCTTCACGGCCAGAGTTAGCAGTTAGCAGTTAGCAGCATGTCGTAGCCATAACATAACACTTGCAGTTTGTCTTTGTCATGTCTGTTCAACTACGCCAAAACGAAAACCATTCGCCGCGCGGAATAAAAAGACGGAAAAAAAATACTCCGTCCGGAGAAAAGAAAAGACTGACGTCACACCAAAGCGTCCTCTATCCCTGATTATCGGGTCACCACGAAATCGTCAAGGACTGATTGATGTACAAACACACACGATACTTCTGCTGTGGGTCTCCATCTGGTCGTGATTGCTGTTGGGTTGGATGTGTATGAGCAGCAGCAGAGACAGGTGATGCTGCGTGTGGATATATATATATTTCGCCTATGTATGAAAAGTTCTTCCTGGCCTGTCTGTGAACTTTCTGCCCACAAGGATCTTTCAGCGAGAAGAATGGAAGGAAGCAGCTTTCCGTCACACGAAGAAGTCGGGACCGGTCTTGCTTGCCTACTGCTGCCGTGCGCACGGGCTCACCGTTCGCTGCCCATGCAAAGCCACAACGACCAGCTTCGCAACAGGCCCAGAAGCAGGTGGCGTGCACGGCCACAAAGATTTCTCGGCGACCTCGACCATCAGCGAGGGAGGTCGATCGTCCGTCTCATACCACACGCATCTATGCATCGCCGGAGCAAACGTTATTCATTCATTACGTTGTGTACCGTGTAATTCGGTCTGAGCGCCAAATAATTTGGTCTCTCGTTTGCTTGCTTGCACCGTTGTGAAATTTCGCATGCACACAACATGCGACAAAAAGTCAAGATTGGCGACCCCATCAGGCTTGACGCGGGTTGGAATCAAGGCTAACAAGGGCCAGGAAAATGTTCTCGGTTCTCGTAACGGCTATTAAAAACCGGATGGATGGTACACGTACGAGGGCTGCCGATGCCTATGATTGGCTGGCCCCGCCCGGCAACCGCGCCATCACTGTTATTTCAGGAACTATTCTGAAATATTCTGAAAAAACAAAGCTGCGAAGGGGCAACGCCGCTGGGTTGTGCACAACAGCCAGGCCTTGACCGGGGCGCCAGCACAAGCGGCAAAATGGATGGTACAAACGTGTGGTTGACACAGAAGAGGGACATCTCCAACCCCAGCGCTCGGCGCTCAACATGCGATGCCTGCGCCACAACAGCGAGAGCAAAACCTGTTCCTGTAGCTGGAAAACAGGATGTCTCCTTTTCGTTTGTTGCGCCACTTTCTGCGCAGAAAAACTCTTCAGCAAACCGCCCCGGCCGGCTGCACAACGACCAACACACCAAATCTTTGCGCGGCTGTTTCACCTCTCCGGTAGAGGGCCATCTCTGAAACCGAGAGCTGTCCTTTGGCGAGCATCTTGAGCTGCTTGCCGAACGTGCTCTTGCCCGACTCTCCGGCTCCCAGGAGCAACACCTGTGTTGGCACCGCCGCGTACCAGTGGGTGGGTGGATGCGGCAACCGTCGCATGCTTCGTGGTCAAGGTATTCTGGTTGAGGAAAACGAAGGAGAGGCGCGTACTTGGGCACTGAAACCCGCCGGTGATGCCAACAAGAGAGGACACGGACAGAGACACCGAGAGAAAACGCGGGGACAGACATTCGGGCAGGAAACTCAACAGCTACTGCTGTTGCAACGCACGAATTCTAGCATATTGTTGGCTTGCAATCGACCTCTCTCCTGAGATTCCCCGCCCCTTTTCCCGACCTGCCGAGAGAGGGCACACGGGGTTTCTCGTCATCATGCTCATGTGTAGCTGTCATCACCATCCTCGGCATGTGGGAACCGCACCCCACAGAATAACCCACGTTTGGGGGAACGCGTACCGAAGTCCTCTCTGCACGCAAACGCCGTGTACCTACGTATGGCTTTGCCACGAGCAGATTCAGCATCTACCCACAAATTGCAGCGCAGCGTAGCAGAGAATTTGAAGTTCACACATGACACATCTACACACACAATACCCGCGACTTGTTCACCTTGCTGTGGTAGTGGCTGTTTCTCCTGCTCTCTTCCAGCTCCTGTTCAACCTGCTCGCCTGGCGATACATCCCCGTGCTTTGATTCACCACAACCCATTGTCCCCCTCGGTTGCTGATCGCCTGTCCACTTCGCAACTCCGTCGCAACCAGAAGCAAGGTCTGCCTTCTTTCCTGATATGATACGATATCTACACCATTCGTGCACGTCTGACGCCAGGCACATGAGAGCCAGCGACCGCCCGCCCGGTGGACACCGACAAACCTAGAAAAACATCCACGGTGCCCCGCCTGTCTGCTACACAACGGCACCTGCCTCACAGCTCACTCACTGCTCCAAACCCTCGTTCTGTTGTTCTACACACTGCACTCTTCTTGGCAGAAAACAAGGGCTTGGAAATTTGCTTCGGTGAAGCAGCAGCAGTCCGGAGGCCGGAGACTCCCCAAACCTTTCGTGTGAGCATACCCCTCGGTGGCGGAATTCGGCGCGAGGTATGTACGTACTGCTGTTGATATTTCATAACGATGCGACTGCTGTGGTGCATCCTTATGCTACATGGCAGACAGCAGTTTGCTGCATTATCAGGCAGCCCTGCGGTAGATTGCAAGCCCCGAAATGTTCCTCGGCGGCAGCACACAGGTAGGTTGGTCAGGTCGTCTGTCTCCTGATCTTCACAGTCAATATCACTCATACGAATCCCCCGCAAAACTCGCCGCTTCTGCCAACTGCTACATACGATCCCCAGCTTTACTCCATGGCGTTCGCCTTTCGTGGCAGTTGTATTCCAGCGAATCATGATGTAGATGAGACCGATCCTGAGTATGCCGCTGCTACAGCACGTACTGCTGTGCAGCAGTATCGCTCCCACAGGATAAAACGTCCACCATCACGAAGGAAGGTTCGTCACGTTGTCTGGTCTTGGGAGTCTCTCCTGGTCAAGATCACGAATCTCCCGCACACTCACCCGCCTCCGTCGATTGGTACACCACCATACCGCCGCACGTCTCCCTTGCCACTGCCTGGAATCACCCTCTCCGTCGCACTCGCCGCACGTGCCGACGGCAGTGTTGGGTCGAGGCTATTCCTCAAGCCCGCGACAAACATGTAAACTATGTGCATTCTACTACTGCTGTAGAACATTTTCAACCCTTTTGAGTCATCCGGCGTTGACTGATGTTGTACAATGTAATTGATTGATCATTTGGAAAAGCCGGTGTGGTGGCACGCCGTGGATTGGCACGCCGTGGATTTGCCGCACTGTAGCCCTCCACGCAGGGTGTTGGCATTTCCATTGTACGTGTGTGCAGTTGCTTGTGTGCTTGCTTGAGAAAGACAGGAGCTCTAGTGAGACGGCAAGGCTCACAATGCGGGGGTGGGGGATTTAGCAGGTAGGGTCTTCAAACCCTCTGACTGATCATTCCAATTGATCATAAGAATATACTGAAAATAGAAAATATAGAGTAGCTGAGGTAGCTTGACGACTGATCATTTCAAGGTCTACGAGGCCAACCCGCCCTACCGGCCGCGCCGCGACCTCCCATCAGCCCTTCTATGACCCTGTCCGTGGCCAACACCCTGTCGCGGGCTGGCTGCCCGCATGACCTAGAGGCGGAGATAGCTGCTGTTGCGTGTGCAAAAGTACGCTTGTCTCTTTCCTCTGCGCTTCTCTCTCTCTTCCGCTCCCTCTCCCCCCTCCTGTGTTTTTGCGTGGCAGAAAAATAGAATAACATCGATACAGAACCTGCGACTGACGGTCAACCTCTTGTTCGGGCGGTTGCCTATTTAGGCCTAAAGGCCCCTATATTCCAAGGGAGAGTACCGGCACTGTTCTACGAGTATGGACAACCTGAATATTCCGTCTGTGCCAAGCGCTTTCACCAGCCTTTAAATAGGGACATGTCCAGAAATGCAGATATCACTGTAGGTTGCATGAGATATCGCACGCCGTGGACTGATGTCATCACACGATTTCTCACAGACAAATAGAATGCCCAACCAGATAGTGCGTTGTCGGAAAAACTCTCGACGAGACGGTTCCAACGCAGCCATTTTGGGCAGCTTCGCAGTTTGTGCTGCGAAGTATGTGGGCTTTGAAATTCGGCCAAACGGGGATCTGCGATCAGTTTTTTCAATAATCTTTGCCGCCAAGCTAAGTAGTGATGCCCCATTGCCAATTAGTTGAGCACGGAGCCCGGCACGCGTGCGTTACGCCTTCATACGTAGGCTTGTGCAAGGAAAGCAATCCGTTGAGCCTGAAAATCTGACAAGGCCGCCAGGCTGTCGTGAATCGGTGGTGGACCAGGATCTTTGGTAATGGGCTCCGACATATTCGCGTGTCCGCTTCCGTTGCTGATATTATAGCTCTTTCGGTGGCCAGACGCCACTCCTTGATTCCAACCTACACCTGCCGTACTGACGACTTGTCAACCGTCTGGTCGCGATCGTTGCCCTCCTCGCTGCTCACTCTCCCACAGTACTTGGCCGACTCCAGAGAGAATCCATGTCTCGTTTCGTGGTGACGGGAGCCAATAAAGGCATTGGCCTGGAGATCGTGAAGGGTCTCCTCGAAACCAACAAGAACGCCTTCGTGTTCCTCGGCAGCCGGGACGCCGCACGTGGCCAAAACGCCGTGCAATCACTCCTCGAGCAGAATTCCGAGTCGTACTCCGGGCGAGTCGAGGCCCTCGAGATCGACGTGTCCGACGCAAGCTCTGTCTTGCAGGCGTCGGAAACCGTTCGCACACGCCTCCAAAGTGGTGGCTGCGGCGGCAGCGACGGGGCTGGGGTGTCGTCACCGGCGTACTTGGACGCCCTCATCAATAACGCCGGGATGATTCCCGAGGACGCATCTTCCCCGACCGGGTTCGCGTCCTGCATCGACGTGAACTTCCGCGGCGTGGTTCGTACGACGGAGGCGTTCCTCCCGCTCCTTGAGCCATCGAAGGGACGGGTCGCCATCACCTCTAGCTCGTCGGGACCGTCGTTCGTGGCCAAATGCAGCCCTGAGCGCCAGGCCCTCATGACCGACCCCGATGTCACGCACGCACAGATCACCAGGCTTGTTGACGAGTGCTTGGCCATCGCGTCTGCCGATGGCGGCCTGGAGGAAAAGTTCGCCGCTGTTGGCCTGTCCGGAATGGATGGGAAAATGGGTGTGTACGGGCTCTCGAAGGTGCGTGTTGAGATAGTTGGCCGGGACGGGCAGAAAGGAACGGTGGAGATGGTGCGTTGATATGTATGCGGTTGCGTTTGTTAAGGTACACAGCGTATCCTCTAGCCTAAATATCAGCGGCTGACTTGTCGTCCGTCAGTGGATTGCTGTACATCATGGTGTTGCGTGTGTACCGTCATCCATCCGCTCTACGCCGAGGTCATCACAGCGGGCGCGGGGCTCTTCCCCACGCCGGTCAAGGTTCTCTCCTACGATGTCAAAGTGCCATTCTCACCAAACGCGTGTTTCATCCGTACCTTCTCCCACGCACACCTTACAATATTGGAACAGGCGTTGGTCAACATGTACACCGTGCAACTGGCGCGGGAGCACCCGGCGCTCATCGTCAACGCGTGCACCCCGGGCTTTATCAAGACCGATATGACCGCTCCTTTCGAGAAAACCATGGGCAAATCCCTCGACGAGATGGGCGCCAAGACTCCGGCAGAGGGCGCGAAAGTTCTCGTACATTTGGCGACGGGCGAGGTTCCCAGTAGCGGGTGGTACTTCGGCAGCGACCTCCAGCGGTCACCGCTCGACCGTTACAGAAGCCCCGGTGACCCGGCCTACGACGGAAAGTAGATATCCCGCTGGGTTCGCTAAATCTGTCTGGCGTAAGCTAGTACTGGTCGAGGCGAAGTCGTGTTTTGGCGAGCATTGGCGTCGTTTGGTGGTTGCATGGCTTTGTTTCTGTTGGTTGTGGTTTTCGTAGAGGCTTTTGCAAGCCAGGACAGCGGCTGGTGTGCTTGCGGGCCGATCAATGCCACTAGGGTTGAGGCATGTGCTGCAATGGTGGCCGATTACATCGACTTAGAGTTGTTGGTTCTTGTGCCTTCGAACACTCACCTAATGTCTTTGGGTCATACTTGACCTAACGCTGCGAAGAATCTTGAGCAGCAGTATTGCCGGAGACAACAGCAGTACATGTGACGTGTTGGGCGTTGTCCGAAGTTTTACGGCCGCATTTAGTTTCTTTATTTTTCTGTACATACGTTGTGCTACGTCGATCCATGACAATGGTTGCTGAGTAGAAAGCAAACATGAATTGTTTTTTCGGTTGGTATATGTCAATGCATTCGGAAGTCGTTCGTCGTGGGGTATCCTGTAGCTATGGTGGGGAAAGGCGTATTTGGATCGCGGTGGAATAGCTACGTAACGTGTACTCAATGGGTATTCGATTATTTCCCTCCCTGTAGATTAATCTTGTACTGCGCGATCTCTTGATTGTTCAACCACGCAGCTCTGTATTTAGTTTTTCACGGTAGGGGGCGTCGTGAATCGTGTATGCCTCTATCTGGTCTCTATCTGGCCTGGCCGACCTGCGTGTGGAGAGTCGCGCCGATACGCCAACAACCAGAGAGCAACCCGGCATGCCTTTCTTCCACTCTCGCAGATGTAAGGAGTCTTGAACTTGATGTTTGACATACTCTTGGAGATTCTCGTGTGTATTGTCGGCAACAAATGAAGAGGATCCGGCCTGTCCACTGATCGTTCTTGCCAAGATGTTGCTCGCTTGAAGGATTCTGAAGCTCATGAGTATATATCGTTATGAGCCAGGCCTTTTCTCCACCGAACGGTAGAAACCCGGACAGCAGCAAGAAGCCATCTGCACCCCACAGAAAACCAGACGACGGCAATGTACATGGTTCAGTAGAGATGAGAGTTGGGAACGCCACTTCGCTTCCCACTCACGTACGGATCACATGGACATACATGCCGTCACGACACCGCCATAGACTACCCCCATTCGCAGAATGCCCCCACAATGTAGTAATATTGCCCTCGATCTGAATGTCAAAAATGTTGGAAGGACAGCCCATTTCCGGCGTCCCTGCTGCTGCTGCAAATACCTCGTTCTTCACTTCGTCACACACATCGCCGGCGAAGCACAAGCATTTTTGAATGATTCTCTACTTGTCCCCCTACCTTTGAGTTCGCCCCTGGGCATTGGTGTACATACAGGCGCCTGTCTGTGGGCGTTCAAAGAAAAATCCAAGGAGGGTTCTCCATCATCCCGACAAAGATAGATATATAATATATGATGAGCTGTCACAAGTCTGCTGGTGCGCAACGACAAAACGCCGTAAGGCACCACAGCGATATCTGCACCATTCACGTGTGTGTCTGACGCTAGGACGCTAGGGCTACTTGTAGCCCATGAAAGACTTTGACACTGACGTGGCTACGTGGCTACCAGCAGGAGACACAGCAGGAGAGCCAGCATCGTGCGGCGGGGGACAGATATGGATACGGTAGCCCTGGCCAACATCCACGGTGCCCCTCCTACACCATCAAGTTATCGTTGTTTGTCGTCTCCTCGTCTTCCCCCAGCGTGCGGGTGCGTGTCGCCGCCTTCAGACGGCTCTCCGCCGCCGTGATTATAGCTGCTTTTATAGGAGAGGGAGGAGAACCTCTTCGGGGACGCTCCGGGCGGTTTCCCGGGGTTTCGACCCGTCTGGATGTTTGGACTGTGGTTCTTTTTTATAATCCATGGATTGCAAATATTCGCGCCCCCATCAACCCTCGGCACACCCGCGACACACCTGATCTTCCATCTGCGCAGCAGTCCACACGCTCATTCTGTTCTGCACGCTGCACTCTTCTTGCAGAAAAGAAGGGCTTGGATACGTTGGATACGTTCTTCACCAAGAAGTCCGGAGACCCCCCACTACCTTTGGAGTGAGTACGCTTTGTTGGTTTGAGCGGAAATCGGCGCTAGGTACGGCTGGCTGGGCGTCCGAACTCAATTTCTGGACGATGCGGAGTTATGATCTGCATCATACATGATACCACGCGGCACAATTGCTGCGAGGTAATCCCCCTTTGGCGGTAGACGTCCAGCTCCACGTAGGCCCGTTTACTCTGGGGCCACCCCGGGATGTGTCTCGGTGGCAGCACGTAGTAGGTTCGTCATGTGGTCTGTCTGGTTTTCGAGTCTTCTCCCAAGGAAACGAATCCCCCGCAAAACTACCCGCTTTTGCCAACTGCTACAACAACAGCAGTGTGCAGCAATAGTAGCAACGATACATCCCGCCTTGTCCCGCCTTGTACTTCTCAATACTTGAAACAGCGATGGTTGCGTTCGCCATTTGTGGCATCGTTCCTTCAGCGAATGGCATCGTTCCTTCAGCGAATGCTGCTGTACATGCAAGTTTCACTTAGGCTACCCGGAGAGCTCGGCGGCGGCAGCAAGTACTGCATGCAGTTGCGCTCGCCGACTGCCCCAAGAGCCGTTTCCTGTCTCAAGATGATAATCCAGACACACCAGCACGAAAGTTCGTCAGGTGGTCTGGTTTTCGAGTGTTCAAAGTCAAGAGGACGAATCCCCGAATCTCCTAGGCAGGCTTTAGATTTAGATATCACAAACTTGTTCTACTCTATTTTCAGTATAATAACCCAAATGGACAACAAAACACAGGGCAACAGTATCGTGCAGTATCGTGCTTTTCCACAAAAAGCCTACCGAGCACAAGCCTAGAATCTCCCGCACAACTACCCGTCTCTGTCGATTGGTACCACCATCCCGCCGCACTTCCCCCCCCCCGCCACAGACGGGCTTCAGCCTCTACGGAACGCTCGCTGCACTCTGCTCGACCTGATAGTGTTGGATCGAGGCTATTCCTCCCCCGATACATCTACATGTACCTTGCCTTTGAACCATCTACAGACATGCACAGATTGTTTGTGGTACTTGGATATGAGTCCGATCTGTGCGTCCTCTGTGGGGGATACGCGTATGGGAAGTATGGGTGTGATGATTATGTACGCGGTTGAGGTCCAAGTGCGGGGCCTCCGGGTGAGCACACGGCGGTGTGCTCCCGGCAAGTGCCTGAGGGGCTTGCGTGTTGGATACCAGCTTGCCTGTGGGGTGAGCATCCTTGTCCTGTGTAATATATATACATGATGGCTACGCGTGTTCCTGGGATAACATAGTACCCAGTTTCAACACCACAGACCGCTGAGGGCGGCAATGCACACTTAACACAGATCACTTTGGGTAGCATAAGATATCGCACGCCGTGAACCGATTTTCAAAGCTCGATTGCTTCGAAATATAATGCTGTACTATTTGCTTGTATACTGTTTGTGTTTTTGTACGTGAACTCAGAAAATATTTAGTACGTTTTCGGAAAAGCTCTCGACGAGGAGGTTCCAACTCCGCCATTTTGGGCACCGTCACAGCAGTCTGCTGCGGAAATGGTCCGGGGGTTAACAAAGCAACATGTGTATCCATGCGATACTCTTTCCCGCCAAGCTTTGTGTTTGAGGCTCCATGGGCACATTAATTTTGCGGAAAGCCCGGCACGCGTTCGTGACGTCTTCATGCGAGTAGATTCGGTGTAAAGGCAGTCCATATAGCATGAGAATCTGAGAATGTCGCCAAGCTGTCGTGAATCGGTGGTGAATCCGGGTCTTCGGTAATGAGCTGGGACTTTGCGCGTTCCCGCTACTGTTACTGATTGCTCTTTCGTTCGCCTTGATTCCAACCTACTGTCGTACTGACCCATTCTCGTCCGATCGCGATGGTGACCCTCGTCCGTTGCTCACTCTCCCACAGTACTTGGCCGACTCCAGAGAGAATCCATGTCTCGTTTCGTGGTGACGGGAGCCAATAAAGGCATTGGCCTGGAGATCGTGAAGGGTCTCCTCGAAACCAACAAGAACGCCTTCGTGTTCCTCGGCAGCCGGGACGCCGCACGTGGCCAAAACGCCGTGCAATCACTCCTCGAGCAGAATTCCGAGTCATACTCCGGGCGAGTCGAGGCCCTCGAGATCGACGTGTCCGACGCAAGCTCTGTCTTGCAGGCGTCGGAAACCGTTCGCACACGCCTCCAAAGTGGTGGCTGCGGCGGCGGCGATGGGGCTGGGGTGTCGTCACCGGCGTACTTGGACGCCCTCATCAATAACGCCGGGATGATGCCCGAGGACGCGTCTTCCCCGACCGGGTTCGCGTCCTGCATCGACGTGAACTTCCGCGGCGTGGTTCGTACGACGGAGGCGTTCCTCCCGCTCCTTGAACCATGGAAGGGACGGATCGTCAACACTTCCAGCACGTTGGGACCGTCGTTCGTGGCCAAATGCAGCCCTGAGCGCCAGGCCCTCATGACCGACCCCGATGTCACGCACGCACAGATCACCAGGCTTGTTGACGAGTGCTTGGCCATCGCGTCTGCCGACGGCAGCCTAAGGGGAAAATTCGCTGCTGCCGGCCTGTCCGGAATAGATGGAAACATGGGTGTGTACGGGTTGTCGAAGGTGCGTGTTTACGGTGAAGGGAATAGAGTGAGCCGAGAGAGACAGAACGGAACTGTCGAGAGAGTATTCACGCTAGTAGACCGCCATCTATCCGCACTCTACACCGAGGTCATCACAGCGGGCGCAGGGCTCTCTGCCCACGCCGATCAAGGTGCTGTTGTGATAGTTGAACACTCTTGACCAAACCCGTGTTTCATCCGTACCTTCTCCCACGCACACCTTACAATAATGGAACAGGCGTTGGTCAACATGTACACCGTGCAACTGGCGCGGGAGCACCCGTCGCTAACCATCAACGCGGCCCATCCGGGCTTTATCAAGACCGACATGACCGCTCCTTTCGAGCAATCCGCGGGCAGAACGCTGGAAGAGATGGGCGCCAAGACTCCGGCAGAGGGCGCGAGAGTTCTCGTACACTTGGCGACGGCCAAGGTTAGAGGTAGCGGGTGGTACTTTGACAGCGACCTTCAGCGGTCATCGCTCGGCCGATAAAGAAGCGTCGGCCTACGACGAGAAGTAGCCGGTTCTTTGGCTGGGATAGAAACCCCGATTTTCATTTGGGGAACACATATCGTACCTATGTGAGAACCGTCGTGGGGGATGCAGGCCCCCCTGGCCTGGCCAGCCTGCGTGTGGAGAGTCGCATGGATACGCCGGGGAGAGAGCAACCCGGCATTCATTTCCACTCTCGCACGTTTAAGGCAGAATTGAACGTGGTGACTAACAAAGATATTGTCGTGTCTTTTCCGGCGCAACAACGAAAGAGGGTCCTGCGTGTCCAATGATAGCCGACCCCATATTTGTCTCGCCTTTAAGTCTAACGTCGCGCTTCTCCACAAGGGTAGAACACGGACAGTATGAAGCGTACCCGCCTGTGACGCCGTTTGCGAGTGCACTGAAAACCAGGCAACGCGTAAAAACATCATTCGGTAGAGATAAAAGTTGGCATCAGAACACTCTTTTCCCAAGGAAGGTTTACCTGTAAACGCCCTCGAAACATCGCCACCCTCGCAGAATGCATCCACCAATATTTTCGACAGGAGCCGGGAAAGGTTCTCTGTCGAAGTGATGGGCGACCCGTGGCAGCCCATAGTTCCTGCTGAGAACGCACCCTTCCTCAAGTATATATCGCTGGCGAAGCACAAACACTTGAATTAGGGCGGGGCGTTATCTTTTCGCCACAGATTGTGGACGCCCCCCTTTTGGGCCATGTAAGAGAACTCCAAGGGTTCATTCCGACAACGAGTTCGACGCTTCGAAGTCAATGCTTGCCAATATGAGATTTTCCATCAACACTGCTGTTATAGAATCGAGCACCCGGTACTCCTGCCGACAAACATACGAGCTACGCCCGTGCACAAAGATATGGCACGGCAAAAGTCACTCAAGATGAACAATGCTTGCTCTTGCCCATTGGTCACATGAGCCGTGTTGTTTTCCTAGCTGCTACGAGGCCCGCCTCCGGAGTGGGCTCATCATAGCATAATGGTAGGAGTCTCATCAAAGCGTGATACAAAGATTAAAGTAGAATGTTTTGGTGAGAATCAGCTGCCATCAGTGACTCTCCCAAGCTCGAACAGCTCACACAGCTGATATGTTGTCGACTCAGGCGCCTAGCGGACCTCAACGAGCCAAAAAGAAATTTTACAAATCTGTACGCGGCAGTCTTACTCGGCCGTATCCAGAAAGCACAAGAAAAAACGCGCGGCGTTTTCGACACACAAACACAGTCAGAAAAAAGCGATTGGGCAACAAAAAACAATACTGGTACAAGATCGCACGCAACGGACACAGCACGAGAGATCCGCGTGGTAACGTGTGCGCGTGAATTGTGGGGGTGTCGCCTACACAAACAAGAGAGCAACGCCACGGGGCCCTTATCGCTCCTGCGGGTGCTTTCCTTGTGTGCAGCGATGGCCCCCATGCCTATTTGAGAACAATCCAGAGTGTTCGTTTTACAAAAAAAGAAAAAAGACATCCCATGGTGGCGTTCTCAAAGGGTGCTGCGGTAGAGAAGGCAGTGTCGCCAATCTGAGAGTGCCTCAGACCGCTGTTAGTCAGCACGTTGCCTCCCACTGCAAGCATTGACAAAGCGTACCACATTAAACAGCAACTCATGCTACCGCTCACGAAGACGCCAAACTCAGCGCACCGCCGGCGGCGGCCGGCTTGTCTGCTACCAGAATAACCATCAACCCAGGAGACATCAATTCCGCCGCCTTTGCCCCTTTCTCGGTCACCGCGGTTCGTGCGCACACAACCGTGAACGTGCGGAAGCGGTGCAGAGACCGCCCAAGGCTCGGTAGTTCCTTTTCGCCACTCTCTCGACTGGCTCCGGACACCAGATCCGCGTCCGACCCGGACGGTCCCGACCCTGCATGTCCAGCGAATGCTAGGTTATTCGTCGATGGTGCGAACGCAGCACCCCAGCCGCGCGTCTCCGCCTCGTCAAGATCCTGCAGATATGTTGCGCTCCCCGCGTGTGGCCCTTGATTTTCGGGGTCTCCCGCCGCCGGTGAAGCCCTGAGCGACAGGGACTTGGCAAGACGCCGCAGCGTGAGATCGCAGAACCACCTGAGAGTGGACGTGCGGAGGGGTTACGCAGAGGGCCGGATTGTACACTGAGTCTAAGGTTCGGGTGCAGGTGTGAGCTGGCACACGCTGTATCCCCGCCCACCCACCGTCAGCTAGAAAGGTCGGTGACACAGCTGCAGCTTCTCGTCCATCCACGGGTCACTACACAAATCACGTTTGCACAAAGGAGTTCCAGGTTGGCATGATGTGCTCAAGCCCGCGCCGTTACTCACGTGCAGTGGGACAAGTCGAGTTCTCGCAAGGCGGCGAGACGGGGCACGTGATCGCAAACAAAGTCTGGCCCTCCGACTACGCCGAAAGAGCCGCGGAGGCCGAGTCTTCGCAAAGAAGGTATCCGGGCCGTCAGCCTGTACCATCGTCAAAAAACACGTCGTCAAGGAGATAGGGGAAAAAACTCTGGTCGAAATCAAACAACCGTGGTAAGTCAAGAGCGGGAAAGGAGCAACAGGGTGCTCACGCACCAGCACCAGCACGGCAAAGGGCCTGGTAGTCGACTAAATGAGGACAAGGCCTGCCACGAACAAAGACCGAAAAGGTCTTTGGACTACGATGACTATCATCCTGACCCAACATGCGCATTTCGTCACTCTCGCGAACCACACGCATGTATGATACCCATTGGTGAACCTTCGGCCGTGCTCGTTTTACGGCAACAGCAACGCCACGGCCGGTCGGCCGCAGCAGCGGCCCTCCCAACCCGCATCGTCACCTCTTCACAAAGCCAGCAGTGACACGGGGGCTGCTTAAATCCAAGGACGTGAGCGAGACGCCCCCACGAAGAGAGGCCTCTATGCGATCGCACGCAGTCTCCCATTCCTCTTCCGCTCCCTCGACAATGGCCTCGCCAGCAGCCGCGTGGTAGGCTGCCGGCTGTATCAACGCAACAAGCCCGTCGTCCCCGCTCGCTACCCTGCTCTCGGTGCCCATCGCCGTATCTACTGCGTTGCCCGCTAAGCAATCCGCCGCCGTGCCGTCTCGGTACACCTCGGCGAGTTCGGCTGCGTGAGACCCTCCGTTGGGCCTATTGCCCGCATTCAACGCTGGCAACAGAGCACCGACGCCCTGCACGTCAAGAAGAGGGAGCGTACAGCAGTCGTTTGTCAACATTCGGTGTGCCCTCGTGCTACGTCGTACGGTGTAAGGTCGTCGTGATGATGGCTGAGATGGGGGCAAGAAATAATACAGCAAGACACGCGTCGACGATTGGGAACTACGTGATACCCATAAGGTTGCAGCAACGGATGTCGGGACTACTCCTTCAATTTCGTTGATAGAACACTCTTGTTGCGGCGAAAGCGGAAACCTCAATACATTTAGCTCTTGTGCTTGTGGAGTGGACCGACGCATGTTTACCCACAACGACAGCAATCGAATAATGAAACCAAAGGTTTTGTCTGATCCCCCAAGGTAAGCCAATATATATCTAGTCACATCTGCGCCAAGCTATGATAGCAGGAGTCAGTTATCGACACCACCGTACAACCGTCTTACAATGGGCTAACACTACACCTCATCCGTGAAGCGTCCTCGGAGCCATAACGTGCTAACCCCAGGGCTGCACAGAAGCCCAATGTTGTGGTCGGCTACATTCCCCCCCGCAGAGGCAGAGCGGGACAGGCGGGAGAGGCAAGGCGAAGGCAGAAGGAGAAACGCTTCCGCGATCGCGTCGTCGTCGGCACGGTACGCCAGAAAATCTCGCCCTGGAGTCATGTTTCGGGCGACAAGGGGGAAGGTTTTGCCTTATGAAGAGACCGCACTGACCGGCCCAACCCCGGAGGTCTGCACCTGTACATACCCTGAGGTTGTTTAGAACGCGTCTTCCGTCGCGTGCTCGGGGCGATTTGGAGGGAGCGAGGAGAGAGGAGGCATTGCGACGGCCTCGCTACAAGCTGCGCTAGGGTTAGCAACAGAGGCCGTCGAGATATACACGAGCAGCAGAGTCCCAGCCAACAGATTTGGTATTTCAGGCCCAGAGAGTGCAACTACAAACACCCGTCAGAGGTGCGAAACTCACCGATCTGTCTGATGCAAAGGGAGAGTAACGTGCAGGTCTTACGCGGCCGGGTCTCGGTCCAGTCGGCCGAAAAATAGTTGCTCGGCGCCGCTACAACCTTGCCAGCCAGGTTCTCCGAACGAACCGCTGGCGGGGCTACCGCATCAATCTGTGAGTCCGCATCGGAGCGGACCCAACGAAGGCAAGCAAGAAGAAACACGCGAGAAGAGAAAGCTGATTCAAGAGGAGTTCGCCGGCCGCACGAAGGTGGCTTGGGCATGATGTCTGCGAAATTGAAAAGTCTAGCGGTACACGCTCGGAAAGGCGACACAGTGGGAAGACCTGCGTCCTCACCACGGCCTCCCATGAACACGTACCGCTGAGCGTGAAATCACGTACCGCTGAGCTTGAAAGTCAGCGCGTAGGGGGAGAAACCTCGGTAATTCACATCTCTTGAGAGTTGCGTCGGTCGGGCACAAAAATGGGGTGGGGGATGGGAGCAATCATGGTTTGGTTTTGTCACGTGTGTTTCTTAGGACTCGATGGGACACGCTTGTGGCACGTGCGAGCTTTGGAGTTGTCGACACTCACCTCATCCGCACGCACTCGTTGACGCAGGAGTGTCGCCAAGGACCGGAACCCTGTCGCACTCAGCCGGGGGGGAGCGGCATCTCCTCCCCGTCCAAGGTTCTGCCTTCGATCCCAAGAGAGGTCTTCCCTCGCATCTCTCATGGCATCATTCCACCTTCTTGCGCTGGAATCAATGACACAAAAGGAAACAGAGAGTAGGTTATAAATGCTACGTCCTCTTCTGGTGATTGCTTCTGCGCGGTATTTCGCTGGATTGTACAGCAGTAGTGGATGTTCAACGCCAAATATCAATTCCCTTGTGGTCGACACGTTTTTCGGCCTCAGCTGTGGGCAAGACCTATGCATGCCATCGTTATGTACATGCTTGCGGTTGCCCCATCTTCAACTTTCGAGAATAACAATAATAGAGCGCGCCGGAGGAGATATAGGCTACCGAGACTATCGGCTGGCACAGCCGTAGCCTACGCAGTTGTTTATCAAGCAATCACACATATTGGGTAGAGCATGCAATCGGTGGAATGCAGGGGTTACGGTTGACGACAGCACTGCTGTACGACCTGTAACAGCAGTCCCAGTCATTGAGGTGGCGCACTTTAGCACACACCACGTGACGGGCCTGGTAATTGGAACCACGTGTTGCGAATTTTCCTCGGCATACGAATATATACGCAACTCCAACTATGGTGTAAATGGTGATATCCAGTCTACTGAGTAGTCTAGACATGGCTCCCAGGTTCTTTGCTTGTTAGATAAGGTGGGTGATATCCTCCGTAAAGTGCGGGAAAGACGGAAAGACAGCTGCTTTCCACATCAACTCGCTCTTGAGCAACTGCGCCAAAACCAGGTGCCACACACCTTTGAGCCTTGCTACCGGCAGCTCCTTTCTGTCGACCTTTCTTACGGCCCGGCATTTGGTGCGGGATAATGGACTGCTGTCGGCGTGAGGCGTGATGAGCGCCGGTCCGCGGTCAGGTGTGGTCGAATGGTCAAATTCACGGTGCCCCCGTGGGTATGCGAAAAAAAAAATCTAGGCATGTGCCCCAGTCTGGCACGTGCCTGCGTGCTCACAACAACATAGTTCATTGCTCTCCCTGTCCGCGTCCTCTGCACCATGGCCGTTTCCGGTGCCGTGCGAGCCCTTGTCTTTGCATTACTCGTGGCGTTCGCTGTCGAAGCGTTCGTTGTACCGGCTCCGGCGGCGCTGGCACGAAACCTGAGTAGACCGAGCAACAAGCAGCAGCTGACACCAACACCGAACACTGCCGCAACATCATCACGTTCGCTCACCCCAGCTCGCATGTCAACGTACGAGCAGTCATCGCCGGAGCCGTCCGCCAGCGGAGAGATGAGCAGCTCTTCTGAGATGGAGCTGCAAGAGCTGATTGTGGATTTCACGGATGATGGTCGGATTTTGCTGGAGGTCAAGGGTGTCAAGGTGGGTTTCGAATTTTTGAATTGAAGAAGAGATGGCTGACCGATTACACGTCATTCGGTCAACGCAGCCGAAGAGTAAGAGTTATACTGTACCACAGAGACCTCCATTCTACGTACGAACAGAGATGGGGTGATATGATGGGTAGCTCACGGGGACCAAGCACCACGTACCGGAGAATAGACAGGAAGAACTCACATACTTTGGTTTGGCCCAGATACCCTACTACACACACACAGAGTTTGCAACACCGCCCGTGCTGGACATCGGATGTTTTTTTTTTCGGCCAAATGGCGGTCGGTATCTACATTTTTTCGGTCATTTTTCTGTACCTGGTACACGATAATTTTGTTTCCGAACAACCAGGACGTTACTACTTTTCGTGTGTGCTAAAGGACATCGCGACGCCAGCGGGAGGCAGGACTAAAGGGTGCAAATTTTCTGGGTCGTTGAGTGAAGTACAACACCTCTGTACTGGGAAAAATTGGTTGATGTTTCATTGTTTACGGTTTTCTTTTTTGTCATGTCGACGCCACAAACGAGGTATACTGCATCCACGCAAACGACATAGACTTGGAGTCGAAGATCTCTCGACAGCCGGATCCATCGCTCCTCTCACAGCAGCTGTCATTGAACAACCCCACGGACACGTTGCACCTCGCCATACACCCATTCATGCTTTATCACGTGTCACAGGGTAGCGAATGCAGGGTGATCACGGAGGATCTCATCAAAGCTCTCGGGGACGTGATCACGACCGAGAACACCGAGGAGTACTTCCAAGAGAAGGTCGTCAACACACAGAAGGTGAAGCGTCCGTGCTATAGCTGACCTTCGTATGACCTTAAGCCTCACAGAGAGCGACACACCGGGCTTGTGCGTGTTGTCATGCAAGAATTGAAGTTTCTCAACTTTAACTACTCAACTTTGTGTGAAATTCATTGAGTGAGACTCATGATGGGATGACGCGGGCGAAAATCTAGTTTGGCGGCCTCGCTGTAGCTGTTCGTGCTCAACTGATTGGCTGATGGGCATCCGTGCCCAGGATGGAAGCGTAGAGTTCCAAGAGCACGTTAGCTCCATGCACGTACCTAATAGTCCTTGTTTCGCGGATAACGGCATGCTACAGCGGCGATTCAACCTCCGTCGCTCAGGCACACGCGATGGGTTTGATGTTGTTTGCTGCGTCGGAAATGATTCTCGAAAGTCGTAGGGCCTACACAACCGTCAGTGCCGCGGTTATATTGTCGTGTGAACGACTTATAACAAATCTTTCAGCAAATGGTTACTTTTGGAAGCACACACGTCGCTGAATTCGTCACGTGCAGTCTCAGCTGAAGTACCATCCCGCACCCCGCCTTTCCGCCCTTCCTGAGCAGGACGCGGTTCAGCTCGGATGGTCTTACGACGCCAGCAAGCCTGAGTGGTGATCGATGATAAGACTGCAAGAAGAGTTGGCTGGACGCTGTTGGTAACGTATTCGAACGCCAATTTTTCGGGATGGTTTTAACGTCCTACTAACGCGGCGGTGTTTTCGAATGCTTGCAGAGGAAAAGCAGTCGCCACGCGGTTCCTGGTTGTCGATTTTTAAGTGCGGGCACATGGGCATGGTGTGCATCCAGCACACAACGAGCTCGCGCGGGGCCTCAGGCTTGCGCCGGAAGTAGCAGGAACGCTGCGAGAGACTGGCAAACGCGTTTGCAACGCTATCTTGCACTGGCTCTTTCGTTTTGCAACTACGTGGTTGTATTGGGTGTCGTTGCTGCCGTGCCCCACTTTGAGGGGGCGGAAGTGGGATATGGATACAGACCTGCAATTTTGTAGCCCTTACCAAATCTCTTTGGTGAATCGTAGCTTCTAAAAGGACAACCAATTTTGGGATTCTTATGTAGCAGGAGATGGCCCATGGTTCGTGTGGGGCGGGAGAACTAGAAGAGCGCGATCGCATTACCGCGTGAAGACTCAAGCGCCAAGGCGAGGCACTGCGCAACTCTCTCGCCCGTTGGGGGGCTGTGTACATAAAAGGCGTCTGCACGCGTATGTTGGGATGTCCAGAGGGATGATCCTGATATCATCTGCTGTGCATTTGTTGCGTACTTTTTGTGCGGGGGTTGGTGCTCCCGACCACGGTAATTTTGTCGCGAGCTTTGGCGTGGCTTGGCCCGGAAATTTTCCTCATGTATGTAGGGCCAGAGGTGCAACAAGCGAATTGCTCGTGGAACGGTCGAGCGTCAAGAAAACAAGGAGTAGGCCGGTGTATTTGTGTCTTGTGTGATTTCTGCACAGGTTGTTAGAGCGAGGGAGGGCCTAGGTTTCGAGCAGTATCTGGTAGGTGAGGCATTCGATGACGTGTTGACTGTTGGTAGAGCGATGAACGGCCTGGTTTTGCGAGCAGTGTCGGTAGATTGGGACATGGAGGCGGGAAGAGATTGTTTGATTGAAGGTCGTTCAAGCGACATGGGAATCCGTCTTGGATACATGCATGTTCAGCTCGCGGCTCATCCAATTTTTTCGAAAAGTTTGATGCTGGTTTTGCTTCATGAGTGCGTTGAGCAAAATTCATTTGAATCAACCCTCGATTCTCGAGGCTGATTTCACTGCACGCTGTCCTAACGTTTTCTCGCGATACCCTCACGTCTGTCGTTAGTCAGCTAGTCCTCAAAAATGGAAAATACTCCCAGCCATCTATCATCACTACAAAACACCTCACGTGCACTACATTGGGGAAGGACTCACGCTGAGGGATTCAACAACATCCAAAGTTTACCTCACTCCGAACTACCCCACGCGGGACGCTAAAAATGTTGCAGACAGGATACAACCGAGCCGAGCGTGAATCCTCGGCGGGAGCCGGGGCACAGCTCTCCGGGAGACTGTCCGGTTGTATCTGCGGGCGGTGTCGCCTCCCACATTCTACGCCTCCGACAAAAAAAAACTAGGTAACAGCACTGAAACCACCGACTTGGCACCTAAAATAGCAACAAAATTAGTCCGAGAACCGCCCAAGTCCTAGACGATCTTAAGCGGATTTGGAGCTCGCCCATTCGCCCAACTCCTGCTGAAAAGTCATAGGGGGGTCCGTCCCCGGACGCCGCAACTTGACAACCCTGAACGCCTCGGCGAAATCGCCAACTCCTGCTGGGGTACCTTTCCCATTCTCTTTCATCGCCGCGGCAATCGCCATCGCCGCGCTCCTCCCGGTACCGTGTGTGCAATGGATCAGGACCCCACCGGCAGCCACGCCGGCGTCGACGAACGATAGGCTTTCGCTCAAGTGAGGCGTAAGGGGTCCGTCTTCACCACCGAACTTGATTACCCTGAAAATACAAAACGAGCGGCGAGAATTATTGCCTGTACCGCCGATTGTGCAGCAAGTAGTCTAGCATTGCGTGTGTGTTGTTGTCCGTTATTTATTTTGGTCGGGTGCAACAGGTGGTTCATGCTGTCCTCGGAGATGTGCAATGATGCTCCGAACAGCGCCCATGAGGCACGACACAGCAGTGCCAGACACTCTGACCTTGACAGACACTCTGACCTTGACAGACACCACACCACCACGACGATACTAATCCTCCTATTTACTACAATGCCGCCCCATGTCCTCGGAACCGAAATGAACTTGGGCGGTTGAAACAACGCCGTCACCGCTTTTGTTCACTTCAGATTATATAATTGATACGCACACGCTGTGCGGACAAGCACGGCACGAATACCATCGTCAACAACGAGTTACTACCTCCCGTCTCACTTGTATTTAAAGTCGTCTTTGAACGCCGGCTCCTTGCCGTTAACCGTTAGAACGTGCGTAACGCCGTGGGCCTTGAGGCTCTCTTTGTCCTTCGCCGCCTCCTGCAACCGAGAGAATCCAGTACATGCGTCAACGAGAGGCATGCGGTACATGCGTCAACAGAACATCTGGACTTGCTCAAGAAAATATGGGCGAGCTGCCTTCATAAATGCGATGTATTGCATCACGCTAGCGATGTTATATGCGCAAAAATCGAGATTTACATCACGCCACGTTCGGCCACCCTACACTCGACACAAGTCACGAATCTTCAAGAACAAAAACATTCGAACCGAACATGCACGTCTTCTCCTTGAAGTATTCCCGACTGACTGTAATGTTTTCCCGCGCTGCATTTGATGGGCAAAGCGACGGCTGACCTTGTCGCTTCCACAACGCGTCTCTGTCAGTCCATGCACACAAGAAGAGACCTCATCATGCGCTGCTGTTGAACAGATATACGGTATCACGGTGCAGGTCAGCTACAACTACTGCTGTACATCTGGATTCGCAGGATCGCTAGCGGGGGTACGACCGGTAAAAACCCAAGGGCAGATCTCGAGCTCGAACGTGCTCGAGCAGGCTACCACTGCCGTGTGTAGACGAAGTCCGCCAGTCATGCGCGGAAGCGCAACTCACCATTGAGCCCAAAAACACCTTCGGCAACACCTCGTGAGCTTCGCCATCTTTCCATTCTCTAGCCGAGAATTCCTCCGCCTGGCCAGGGGCCGCCATCTTCCCGCTTACAGGCCGACGGGTCGTAGAGCAAGTGACGAACGAGAGCGGTTCCGTACGAACCTTCCCAGTCAAGGATGGGTACGGGACGGCGGTGAGCGGCTGCTGCGGAAGGAAAGAAGGCGACACACGCCGTAACACGCACCGGAACATGGCGAGTCTCGTGCTTGTCTCTGCTACCCGCACCCCCCCCCCGTCTCCCCGACAAAGCACAATATCTGCAACCATGGGGGGGGTTCAAAACATTGTCTGCGGACGCCCTACCACCGTTGTCGGGCTGATCCAGACCAAGCGCAGCGACAACGGCACAGCCAGCAGCTCAGGCTTTCAGGGGACTGATCACAAAAGGGATACCAACAGCTTTTTGCAAAGGAGGTGAGGATGCAAAGGAAGAAAACCTGTTTTGATGCTCTTTGGTGATGGTTTCGGTTGTGCGGAGAATGGAAGTCGTGAGAGCCTTTTTGCATACTCGTAGCACACACCCAAAGAACATCGGAGATGTCTACTGGTATTGCGGGTGTAGACGAAGCCTGCATTGCTAGCGCTCTCGGCTGTGCGTGTTCATGTCTTTGGCAGCAGTGTTGGTGAGCCTGGTGCCCTCATCCGCTGCTTAACCACCCACCAGACCAACAACTGGTGTTTTGATCAACGAGATATTCATGCCATTCTGCGGAGCTCCTCACTTCTTCTCGACAGAGTTGCCTCTCGCACGTCCAGCGTGCGCTGCTCTGTGGTGTCGATGGAAAACAACCCGATCAGCTGTTATCCGTTGGCGTGAGTGTGGTCGAGACAAGGGACACGCCGAGTCTGTGTTTTGCCGTGTGTTGAACTCTGCCTCTCTGGGAAAAGCGCCTCCCGCCCTCTTGTATCTTTCGACCGCATCCATGCGGTCGTCGCCGTCGTCTTCGTAGTTGTCGATCTCACGCCACGGACACAGCTATCTGGACATCTGTTACCTTGCACCGAAAAAAAATTAAGCACCGTTGCCAATCCCCCTGATGTCAATGTTCCCTTCCTTAAATGTCCGCGTATCAGACGCAGCAAGTTCGGGAGGCACAGAGACTAATTGGATACAACATCAGCAGAGTCGCGGGCGATTTCGCGCTTGGATTGCGCCTGCTGAGCATCACACGCAGCCATGTTCCGCAATCAGTACGACACGGATGTGACCGTTTGGAGCCCGCAAGGTCGTCTTCACCAGGTAAGGTGTAGTATGAAACGCCACGGACACGAGCCCCACTGTTTTTTTTTGCCCTAGCGCTATTCTGTCCCCGCGGATATGCTGCTGCCGCATCTCTGTTCTGTAGTTCCTGAGAATCGCGAACAGCATGTTCGGCGTGAGGTTGCGAGTCTCTGCATCATGCCGGCCTGTTGTGGGGTCAGAAACAAGTGATACAGGTGTTGTTGCACACGCGACACTGTTCCGCATCGCCGGACCCGTGCCGTACGGAGCCACTCACGTAGGCAGCAGCAGTCTTTATTTTGGCATGTAGACGTCTTAGTTGCTGCCACACGAGCTATAGCCACCGGGCGAATTTTCGCCTTTTACCTTATCTCGAACCCCCCAAATGTCGGCCTTCCCAGGTGGAATATGCGATGGAGGCGGTGAAGCAGGGGGGGGCGTCGTTGGGGCTCCGCAGCGGTAGCCACGTGGTTCTGGCGGCCCTGAAGAGGGCACCGAACGAGATGTCGGCACCGCAGAAGAAAATCTTCAAGCTCGACAGCAACATGGGCGTGGCCATCGCGGGGCTCACAGCGGACGCTAGGTCGCTGGCGAAGTACATGCGAACAGAGTGCCTCAACCACAAGTGAGTCGTTCAGTTGTCGCGCCACCTTTCCTCGACGGCATTGGCTGTGTCTACCGGGGGCACCGCTGTTTCTCTCGGGTATACCTGCGTCGAATGGCGACCGGGGGTTATGATGTGCTGCAGCAACAGCAGCACGTGAAGAAAAATATCACAAGCACAGCTGGAGGTCAAACACCGCGCGGTAAATATCAAGCACAGTAGTTCAACCGGCCAAGCGATGCCTACCCTTGGCGCTTGAAAATGTGCCTCTTTCAGTCGATCATCGAAAGATACCTCATGAACTGCCGCAGACAAGCACAGCGGTACATTGGCAGACCCTGGCTAGATCCTGCAGGATCGCTCAGCGGGCGCACCACCGGTAAACGCATTCCACAGGGGCCAGAATTCCGAGCGCGGAACGTGCTCGAGCAGGTCATAGCTCAAGAATTCTGGCATTTCTTTCTACTCTTCCATCGTGAAAGTCAGAACGAGTCGATATCGGTATTGAACTCACTGACACAACCATACTCTCACCGTCGACCGTCTAGGCTACACCATTCTCTGTCTCCACGCACTTTTGCCAAAATTAAAAACTCAGTCAACCCAATACGAAGATAGCCTCCAGTCGGTGGGGCTACCTGACCCTCACGGCGATTAAACAGATTGCAAAGTATTTGTATATGCTCGTACGCGCAACCAGGGCGCCGACAATGGGTCACCATACTACGCCGCTCTGTATGCCCATCCCCGCTGGTTCCTGCAGGATCGCTCAGCGGATGGTAAACACATTATTCTATCAACTCCTGCTTGCAAAAAAACTTGCAGCTTGAATTGAAGGCGGTGATTCCAGCCTGAACCACGCGCAGCAGAAGAGAAAGGTTCACATGACAAGGAGTCAAAGTCAGGCGTAACGCCTTTTTTCCCTTCCCCGCACGAACGTCACAGAAGAATTTGGTTCACACGACAAGGAGGCAGTCAGGTTGTAACCCCTTTGCGTTCCCCGGGACAAAAACGTTCCGCAGGTACGTGTACGGAACCACCATGCAGGCGAGCCGCTTGGTCCTGGACCTCGCGGACATGCACCAAAGGACCACTCAAAGCTACGTCCGCCGGCCGTACGGCGTGGGCATGCTGGTGGCGGCGCACGACCAGACGGGGCCGCACCTGTTCCAGACGTGCCCCAGCGGGAACTACTTCGAGTACGTGGCCATGGCGATCGGCGCGCGATCGCAGTCGGCCAAGACTTACCTCGAGAAGCACTTCGAGGACTTCGAGGTGAGAAGGGTACTGCTGCGCCGCGCCGCGCCGCAGGAGTTTCCCGTGTTGAAGAGACAGCTTGCCGCAAGCGGTGGAAACAAACGTCGTCGTTAGTATTTTGACTCGATATTCAACAACCGCCCAACTCTGTGTGAAACCTGTCTGTAGCTGTGGATGCTAAGGCGGGGCTGGGTTGACCGCCAACGGGCCTCGCCGTTCTTTCGTTGACTCCGTGTTGGTCGGCGGGGGGATTGGGCAAGCGTGCCGACTGTACAGGGCGGCGAACTTCCGATGTTGGGAGCTAGCGCCGTCTTTTTTTTTTTTTTGTTACTCCAACATGCGTACAATGTCTCGTCCGACGATCACACACCCTGTCAAGCTTTACCCACCGGAAGACTCATTCCCGCGCCGTTTGCGTCTTGTCCTCCTTGTCGCGACAAACCGAGGACAGAACTGCGACCTGGACGAGTTGGTCAAGCATGCCTTGAAGGCGTTATCTGGCTGTGTGACCGGGGACAAGGAGCTGGACGCGAACGGGCTGACCCTCGCCATCGTCGGCAAGGTGAGGCGCGCCTGATCGAACTGGTTTTCCCATGCCTAACCTTCTTGCCGTCTGCATTGGTCGGTCGTGTGGAGTACCTCTCGAATGCCGCGGTTGTCTAGGTGCGGCCAAATTTGTGCTTTTTCCCCGCCCGCTGTGAACGGTAATTTAGGCCTGCGACACCATTTAAGTGTCAGTACCTTTCTTGTCGTGAAACCCCGTTGAACCTCATTCCGCTCCTGGATGGTTGGGCGGCAAAGCCAGCGACGGTCGACGAAGCATCCGGGGCGCATTTCTGACCGGGCTTTTGGTGTGGCGGCTTCGGTGTCCGTTGTTTTTTTTCCGTTGAGTAGGACAAGGTGTTCGAGTCGCTGGAGGGCGAACAGCTGCAGCCCTACATGGATGCCATCGAGCTCGAGGGGAACGCGGCGCAACCCATGGACGAGGGGGACGGGGAAGAGAAGGTACGCCAACAACCTCCATCATCAATGGGCATGTGTGGCATGTTTGATCATCCCTCTCGCAGGAGGCGTAAGCACGTTATGCTCACGACATTCCTGTTGGGCGCTGGTGTTCTTGGCGATGTGTACAATACGTAGGTATAGAACCCGTGCTACTTCGAAGTAGTTTTTTTTCGTTTAGCCAACTATGTAGTGCGCGTGAGTAAAACACACAGGCGGGTCGTAGTTTCCTTTCGAATTGCAAGTCGAATGCCAGCGAAAGGTGGGTGGGTATCTTAACGGAGCGCCTATACTCTGTTCAACTGCAAGCCCCTTTGCCACTAATATTTTGCCGCATCTGTGAGAATAAATATCTCGGCTAGTCGAGGTTAAATACGAGACATGCCCAGTTTCGATAAAGTACGCCTAACAAATGTCTACACCGCCCGGTGCCACGTGTTGCAATGCAACATGTAGGGGGATGACACTCTTAAAACGTAGGAACCGATCGCCGCAGATACGGCGCAGCCTGCTGCCCAAATCGAACCCCCACCCCGGGATTCTCTTTCCCAAACGCTTAATACGTCATCGCTTCAATGTTAACTTTGATGCGAGATCACGTTGGGTTAGTCTCTTGTCCATCCACTGGGATATCATCACTATGGTGTGGTTCCGTGTCCGAGCGATGCTAGGTTATTGCAGCTCCAACGATTGTCAGCTTTAGAATGTCGTCTCATGCCGCACCCATTTTCGTGTCCCGATTCTGCCTGTTGTCCAATTTCTTCAGGCGCCGGCTCCGGACGCAGGGATGGCATGAACGGCGTGAAGCCCTGGCCAGGAGGTGACATGCTGTTCCCTGGCGACAAGAATGACGTTTCGTTCTGTTTTGGTCTTCACACAAGCCGTTTTTAGTTTCTTTTGCTTTTTGTTGTGGCGGTCCTATGTCGTTCGTATTGCAGCCGGTGCGTGACGTTAGGCTCGCTTCGGTGCTGCCAATGAGAGCTCGTGGGTCGGGGGGTCGCGTGAGTATAGCGACCATGCGACGATGTAGCCTGTTAGTGGATAGCTCGGAAACATGTGTCCGAAGTTGGCCTGAGTTCGTGGGATTTGACGCTCATCTGCTCCCGTTTTCGTTTGTTGGGCGAGAAAGTGGCGCGTTTGCCAGGTGACGAGAATGAGAGGCAGAGTTTCGGGTTTACCTAGAAACTTGCGCTTGGGACATGTTAGCCGTTGTCCTCTTTTTGCTCGCAAAGCGGTTTCTCGACGAACAACGTGACTTTGCGCGGAGTGTACAACGTGTTCGAGTTTTGAGCTACAATAGGCAAAAAAGTACCCCACCCGTCCACTATTTGACGGGTTGCACCCACCCACAACGACAGGAAGCATGTCCTCTTCTTTGGTTGATCTCGACAAGCTACCCGATAACGGCCAGCAAGCCCAGTGGGGAGTTGCGACAGGTTTATCTGCGGGCACGCGATGTATGCCTCCTATACTTGCCGCCGGTGGCGATCGACGCCTCCCACTTTTAGACACAGAACACGCAGCCAACACGACAGGAGTGAGGTGTGCCAGGCAAACAACGACCTTCATTGATCAGATCACCAGTCTCGACAGCACATTTTTTTGCAGACAAAACAAGGTTTTCACACGCCACCCACGTTGATGAAGCTTTGCAACCACTTCTTCAAGAGAAAACTAGAGAAAACGTCTTCCGTGTGAGACAACCATTGGTGGACGCGACGACCAAGGAGAGGGGCAGGTAAAACAATTTTCTTGGAAATTGCTCGGGGATGAAAATCCTCCGTCTGCCCCTGGGGCAGGATAGCATCTTCTTCGGGGACCTGCACGACAGAGGACCCGACACATACTCCTTTGCTGCAGGCAGTAGCGTCCTTTCAAAGCCCTTTTTACCTGCACATAAACCTCGCCCCCTGTGGCTACATCACAGTGGTGGTTGCGTTGGATGTCGCCCATAATGTAACGGGCAGAAGGTTAATCGTTGATCATGCATCGTTTTTTTCATCACCGTGTCTTGTTCCCGTCTCGAAGATCTGAAACAACTGCCCGCAGAGCGAGCTGAGTGCTAAGCGCCACCAAAGATCCCCAAATATCACCCATAAATACCATCCAACACGCACACCGGACTACCTCCTGCACACATGCCCCGCCACCTCGAGATACCCGAGAGACAGAGACATGGAGAGTGATGGATCCATGATCGGCCACGCGCGGGGGCACCAAACACAGCGTAGTCCACGTGGACGAAAGACTCTTATCTGTCGGCCCCCCTCCACGTTTGTCTTTGTCCGCTGCCACGTCTCCCGTACTGCTGCTGTGTAGCAAACGCTATTTTCCCACATCCCACTTAGCTCAGAGATGAAAGCATCCTGCGCTTTGGCAGTGGTCTTGGGCCTCTGCAGGGGGCCCACAGCAGTGGTGTCGTTCCTTCCCCCCCCGGCCACGGCGCTTGCCGGTGCAAAGAGCAGTGCTCCGGTAGCGGCCGGGCCGTTGATTGCTGCTTCAAGCGTTGCTGCGGGGGGCCGTGGCTCTCGCCTGGCTGCGGCCCGGGAGGACTGCAAGAGCTGCATGGAGGCGGAGCTGTTGGAGGAGGAGAGGAAGGCAGCCGCAAAGGGGGGCGGGGCGGAAGGCGCTGCGACCAGGAGGGCAGCGTTGGAAGAGGTAGTGTGTTGGCGTGCGAGAGAGTATTTTTCGAAAGAAGTTAGCCCACCACCCCACATGGGCAGATGGGGGTGTGTGCGCGCGGTCGATGCTCCTTGGTCCTGCTGTGCTGAAAGCCTTGACACGACCGTCCCTGTGATACAATTACTGTTTGTGCTGTTGGTGGCCTTGCCATATAGAACACGAACGGTTGATTCTAGATGCGCGGGCCTGCAACTTGAATTACAGGTACACGTAGTTGCTCTTGGTGTCGAATGGACTACGACCAGAGACGCCGGTAAGCACCTCCTTTCCCCAAAGCGCAACCTTGAACTGCTCTTCGTATGAAGTATGATGGTGTAAACGGGGTATTGGCTAACCTTCCGCATTCAACTCGTAACCTGTGGTAGATTATGACTGCATACGAAGGTCTATGCCGCAGATATAGGCAGGGGTGAACTGCAACCCGGGTCCACGTGGACGCAGCAGTGCACCACATATGGACGAAATTAGCCCGCGTGGGGCCACATCCACCGTCGACGGTACCTGCCGCGACTGGCCTTCAGCCCGAACTAGTCGGCTCAATCGTAGCGGTTATCCGGAACGGCAGACGTGCACAGGAGAGTCAGCTGTCAGTTAGACACCCATCTTCATGCACTCCGCCGTTCCTAATAAAACACGCTCTACTGCTGTACCGTCGCCTTTGAAATGACATGGAAATTGAATTTCACTTCCCCCTTCCCTTTCCGCTCGATTCTCGATTGACCGCAGTATAACCGGCGGGAAAAAGCTCGCAACACGAAGATAGCATTCGGGTCGTTCCTGTCGGCGGTGGGGCTGTTCTTTTTCCAGCATGCCGCCATCGCCCCCGCACAGGTACAGTATGACCACTGTTTTTTTTTTGCATCGGCCCCGCTAACCGGCTGGCCAATCAAAAGAGCGTCGGTCTTTCTATGTGGTCTGGTCGTGTACGTTTGCAACACAGAACAAATAGTTTTAATAGTGGCTCTGCAGTGAGCTTTTCCGGACCGGGTGTTAAACCCCTGCGATACGTGAATGGGTAGAGTTGACCTCGCGTGATGTGGAAGTGTGCGTGTAGCGCGCGGGTGTCTTTCCCTTGCTACACGTGTTCGGCACTGATTTGTGTTGAGAGCATTCTCCGCGTGTTATTAGGAGAGAGCTGTTGCCTCAGCGGATGTGCTCGAGCAACCTCGACGATGACAGCCGTCAGCGAGCAGTACGTACTTCTTTTCCAGGTCTCAGTCGTGATGGTTAGTGCTGGATTAACTCGTTTCCCTCACTCTCTCGATCTCGCATAACTTCGCGACACGTCATCTTGGAAACACCCTAGCAATTCGAGGAATCATTCCCTTGTGCCCGTTGCCAGTCGGGACCGCATGCTGTCTATTTTCGGTTGATGCCGTCGACGTGTATGTGGTGTGTACAAGTTCGTTCGAAGTGCTCAGGGAGTACGGATGTGCCGGCACTTCTGAACCTCTAATGTTGGTCGAGGCGGGGGACGCTTACTTCCTCTTGTGGGTTACAATGTACAGAGTTGCCGCTATGGCGTAGCTTTTAGTGTAGGGGTTCTTCACCGGGCTCGCCAATGATAATGGTGCTCAACATCTTGTGTTTTGATACAATGTTGAGAGGGAAGTTCTTACCAGCCAAGTCCTTGTGTGCGTACGTTATCTTTTTCTTTTTTTTTCTTGGAGCCTCACGCTTTAGTTGTTGTCATTTTTTTTCGCCACACAGGCGAACCCGGTGGTCCTATTGCGGGCAATGGAGACTTCCTCGGCCCCGCTGGCGACCGCCCTCACGAACGGGAAGCCCACGGTGGTAGACTTCTACGCCGACTGGTAAGTGCGGCCTCGCATGGTCTTGCTTATCTCCCTTGTGTGTGTGCGGCAGTCGGCATGCGTGCATCTGAAACCGTTGTTCTTTTACGATACCCCGTACCCCGAGAATGATGCCGACGGTTCACGCTCCCTGCCCAATACGCACACAATACTTGCAGGTATAGTTGCTCAGCGCTTGTAGTGTGGACCGTTGTTTCGCGTGTAGATCGCTCACGGATTGGGTTTGGGTACATATAGGCAAATCACAGAGGCAGCGGGAGCTTCGTCTCATGCGAGACGACTTGTGGTCAATCGTCTACATCAGTGATTGCTTTATATGAAATGTATCCCTCCGAGATTTTTTTTTCATCTTCACCCCGTACTCATCTGCACGAAGCAGCCAAACGTGATCTCACCTGTGCAGCTGGTTACTGCTGAGCACAGAGACGTTGAAAAGAAGTAGCAGGATCTGGACGCCGATAGGGCACCGGTAGCGAAGTCTGGCACACTTGTTGCACGCCGGCATGTACGCGCTGCAAGTCACACCATGCGCTTTTTGAGTGGCAACCACACCACCAACCTTGCCTGCCCCCTGGGTGTTCGTCCGTTTGGACCAAGGTGCGAGAACTGCAAGGCGATGGCACCCAGCATGAGGGAGATCGAGGAGCAGTTTAAGAACCAGATCAATTTTGTGGTGGTGGACGGCAGCGCCGAGAAGAACTACGACTTGGTGAGTACCCTTATAGGGTACGGCGATCGGACGATCGGACATGTGTTTTCGGCAAGACTGTAAAGGGTACAGCAGCACTACGGACCTCGCCCCAAGTTTTGCCAGCCCCTTGGTCCATCTCAAACGAACAGATACTTCGAATTGTCTACAACCTTCGAAGTTTCCACCTTTTAACAACATAATACAACAGTGAACGAAGGGATTTGAGCGCTCAGCTTGAAGCTTGGCGACCTTATGAGGCCCATTCACTCGACGGCTGTCCCTACACGGTCGTTGTCCGATGTGTTCGCACGCCGCACCACATCTTTCGACTGGATCTGTAGTAGCAAGGGCTTGCTGCTGCCCTTCCCTCCTTGCTGCTTCGTGTACAAAGCATTTGCCACCTCTTACCAGTCACATCCTTGCTTGGCTGTTTGACCCCCCCCTGACAACGGAAAGGTGGACGCGTTCAGGGTGGACGGTATCCCTCACTTGGCGATGGTCAATGGCAACGGGGAGGTAGAGACGGCCATTATCGGAGCGGTACCGAAGGACGTGAGTACCCCCTTCCTGACGTCAGAGGGGGTGTTGCGTCCCATTCCTTGCTGATTTTTCTCACGTGTGCTTGTCAGGTTACCGTATTTCTCCTCGCGAAGTCCCTTCGGGGTTAAGAGCTCGTCGCATGCGCGCTTTTGCGAAAGGAAACGCGCGATGTGCAGACTGAGTAACTCGTGGCTGAACGAATCGCATGTAGTGTGGGGTACTAAGAATTTTTTGAATTATTTCTTAATTTTTTTTTAATTTTTTGAATCAAATATTGTGCGAAAAAAGTTAACTTAACAAATTATCCCCGTGCGGTATTTGCCGCACATGCGTGTGGACAAGGGTTTATTTTTCTATTAGTTTATGCCCTTCCCCGCGTTGCTTGAACGGTTCAAATCTTCATGTTCCGTCGGGACGTCGACTCTAAACCGTTGCGCCTGTTTGTGTGCATCTTGCATCCGACGTCCAACACGTTTTGTGGCAACATGGGCTGACCAATCCCTCACAACTCCGTCCGTGCGAAGGAAAACTCACCCTGCATTCATTCTCGCTTCTGCTCCTCCCCCCGCCCCCGCGCCCGCGGTGTCCGTTCCGCTTGTGCGGACAGGTTGTGGTGGACGACATCAAGGCCTTGTTGGCCGGTCGGCCCTTGCCTTTCAAGGGTTTCGACATGTTCGAAGGGGAGGACCACAACATCAAGGGACAGATCGAGATCGACGGGTGAAGGCGCGGACCGATTTTTGTTTTTGTCCGCCGTGTTTCCACCCCCAATTTTGGTCTTTCATCGAATGCGCTGTGTTGTTTTCTTGGATTTGGTGAGGAATCTGACTGAGTTGGATCGCACCGGGCCGGGGGAGGGCATGTTGCGACCTGCCATGCCGAGCAGGGCGTTGACTTGTTTATCGTACCAGGACTTGGCGGCTGGGGGCGCCGTGGTTTGATTCGGGGGAAGGATGCAATATTTGACCGCCCTGGTCTTGTAGCATACTTCAGCACGATAATATTTTAAGTAGTAATATCAAACGAATGTGTTGGGCGTGCGGCGACGGCGTGCAGCATATGTCTCGGCCTGAGAAATGGTGACTGCATTCATTCGGGTGGGGCGGTGGAGCCGACCCTTCGTGAAACACTCCGCGCTTGGAGGCCCGCCTTAGTTTTCGTGTGCCGTGGTGGTGGACGGTGGGGATGTAGTTGCGAGGCGAGCGTGGTCATTCCGAGAGCTTGCTCCTGGCACCCTTGCCCTCTCACGGCCCATTTTTCTATGACCATTGCGCTGAAGTGACGGGGTCTGGGGGTATCGTACACCTCTATCCCCTCGACAGCGGTTGCCGAGTACCTGCCGTTCGATGTCGTGAGCAGTCAATGTCGTCTTGGGCACTGTTGTCGCTTTGTGGTATAATAGTCGTTCACCAGAGTTTGAGCTTGCTTCTGTATCACGCGTGGTGGCGTGGTTTGGTTAAGTGGGCGGGGGTGCGGCGTCGTGCGGCCGTAGGTTCACCGTGTGTTTGTGAACGTGAAAGAAACTTGGCTTGGTGGCTGTACGGCAAGACTAGGCGTTCTTATGGTTGCCTTCCGCTCTTCTCCGAGTTCCGGCTTGTTCGGTAGAGGTTGTGCAGTCGCCGTACCTGGCCGTACGGTCGTTGTAAATATTGGGAGTTCTTTTGAGGCTTCTCGTTGGGATCGGAGGAAGGGAAGTAATGTTGCTGCGGACGTATACAGAGTATCCTGCAGTGGGCACTACAGAGAGAAGGCAGGCGTGCCATTACAATTATTTCAGGGTGAGTGAAGGTCGCCGAAGAAGATCGACGCACTTTGGTGTTGAGTTAGTTGCTGGGATTACATGAAGGCCCAGCCTCGAATATTCGTTTCGAGATCAACTTGTTTCGTTCCCATCGGCATGGCTCTACGCTGCCGTCAGTGGGTAGCATATGAGCAAGAAAAATGTCTTTCGTTTCTGCGAGTGCATCGTTGCAAAATGGCACGTACATTGCCCAGAACTGAAAATTAAGAACTACCCAACACGAAAATGTTGAGAAGCTAACTCGTGATCATCGTGCTTCTCAGCAGAAAACAACACGCACGCGTTCATCCCTAGGGGAACAGTCACTACCGGTAGGATGCCAAAGATGTGGCCTATATGAACATGACGGGTTTGAAATTGCTGCAGTAGATGTTTCCTTGTACACAAGCTTTTTATGCAGCAGTACCGGCCAGGAGATAACAAACAAACGTCAAAATCTGGTCTAGGCTCAGCGTCTTATTTCGTCGCCACTGCTGTACGCACCGTTCTTCCGTTTTCGGAGCAAACGGAGTGATGAAGTCGTGTGCCGTCGTGCCGGTTCCGTGCGGCGCATTATATGCCGGTTCGGTCGGCGGGATAATAAACGTTTGGCTGGTGGAGGTAGATATTCTATTTTTTGGTGCACTCGGTGCTCGGTGCACTCCAGTCTCAAGGAGATTGAATCACCGGATTCAGCAATTCTAGGTCTTGAGATGGGACGACCCCCACCTGCTGCTCTCACTCCTAATCCTGTATACGTACTCCAGCTTCTCCCGACCTCGTGCAGGCCACAATTGATTATTGTGGGTTGTTGTGGGGGACATTTTACAGCAGTCGTGCGGCATCTGCAAGATTACGTTGTGATGTATTCAACATACGTAGCCAATTCAACATCATGTGTGCCTCTTCTCCGGAGAGTCAAAGCAATGCGAAATGCTGTTGCGCAGACATTTGCAGGTGTCAGCCTTCACCGCCACGCGGCGAAAACTGAGCGAAAATTCCCAGAATAAAATATCCGCGTGATGGTTGCATCATCCAGCAGGCGCCCCTCTCTTTCAACCTGCATTATTATTGTTACGACTGTTCCAACGTACATGCTCCGTGGTCTGCAGCAGTAGTATGCGTAGGGCAAGTTTATCTCCTCTGACAACAACATATCTCGAACGTCGGTGATGCTACTTCTTTAGACTACTATCTGAAAGCATTGGTCTCCTTTGTGTGCAGTCGAAGGGAAGCAAGTGAGTCTCTACGCGTTGAAACGTCTGCTTTCTACACGATATTGTCCCGCCGAAACATTGCACAAAAAAAAAAAGTTTCATACACATATACATATATATATGTATACAGCATGAGAAATCGACCAAGTCACAATCTCTCTTGGTTGGGCATCCGATCCACTAATTTAACTGAAAGAAGAACAGCTTTCCGTACGGACCTCCACTGACTCGTGGCGTCGTGTTGGCCTTGCACCGGCATCGCCCACAGCCCCGTGGATGGATGATGGCACATATTATCGTCTGGTGAACTCCTGTGTCGATCACTTTCTTGAAGTCCTCGGGCCTCGACTGGACCGATGGGCAGAGGCCAAGGCTGGGCGTTGGAAAGACAATGTCGAAGATGAACATGTAATCGAGGACGAGGGCCATGCACATTGGCAGGCGAGAACACTCAGAAGAAATTGGCGTGCATTTTGTGCTACCAACTTGGTACTGAAGGATCGCTCTTCTTGCTGCTTGTGTACGGAATTCGGCGCTGCTTGCGATTCTGCCTTTGGTACAGTAACCTGGGGACATGATCGTGTGCGTACAAAGTGCGTTGTATAAATGCTGTTTGCGTTTGGAGCAAACATCGGTTTCCCATTTCATGCAAGAAAGTAGTGTGGGGAGCGTGTACCTCTCCTCTCTGTTACCTTGTCCGCAGTTCGGTATCTTCTACCTGGAGCTTGCTTGTAGGGATGGAAGTGTTGTGTATCATAATGTTGCGACTCAATCGAGTCCGCGAGCAAATCAAGACAGAGTAACTCTAGAAGAAGCACAGCGGCGACATTACTATCGTGGGCATGAAGGTGTGATTCTGGGCTACAAGTAAAAGGGGCGCGTCTATGTGCTTGGTGGGTCTACACATTCTGGGACTGCACGCGAGGAAGCTTACGTCTTGCCACCGAATAATATAGTCCAAAATCTAGTCTAAGTACTCTGCCACGATTGACATAAAATGTAGAGACGAAGTCCAATGGCTTTCTTTCTCTTGCATTACACTGCCATCGTCCGTCCTCCATCGGACTCGCTGTGATATACGTTTCTTACCGCACCCGCGCTTAGACTACACTTTTGAAAATACCGCGTGAGGTTCGCTGTGAGCCTCAGTATTTGATTGTGGTAAGTATAATTTGTTGAACAAGATCCCGTTTGTTCTGGTTGCCAATTCGCATGGGGCAAACGTACCCTCCTAGTAGGTACGAATGGTACACCACACTAACTCTTGACGGGTGCGCCCCATGCTGTCCTCCTGCTCGCAACGTTCACGTATGTTTCTGTCCCCTGGCTGCTGTGTCGTGTATTCACTGCGTTCTGGCCGCAATACGATCAGTTCGAGGACCATCAAGACTTCAGGTGGGAATTATCTCGGGCTTTCAGTATTGAGAATTGGTGAGGTCTCGTTCCTACGGGAGTCGGGAAACCTGTCGAGAATCTCGAACAGGCCGAACTTGTACGTCCGTTCTACAAAACCATGCTCGAAGTATTGCAGAGTTTCTTGGGTAAGAAATCAGTCGCTGGTTGGAAAATATTGGAGTGTTACTCTCGCCAAGAAGGGAAGCGAAGAAAAACCGCCCACCTGGGTATCTAGCTTGGACACGTAGAGCTATGGGGGGGGGGGGATACTCATAGTCGTGCATGCCGTAGTCGTTTGACCATTGACCTCGCATCCCTGCAAAGCCGGGACGGAGCACGCCGGGTTCTCACCGGACCAGGCTCTCACATCACCAAGCGCGAAGCGCCGTGAGGTATTCGGCGAGTCGCATGAAGGGTTCGATCGCTGCATCCTGCCAAGGGTGTTCGGCATCTTGTGCTTACTTCCTTGCGTACGGATGACAGCTGCGTATGACTTAATTTATTTTCTGGTGCTTTCACTTCCAGAGACAGTTCCATTTCAACACACCGTGGTGCGATCATCCCCCATTGCGCGGAGTGAGGGTTCTCGCCTTGCACAACATAATCTACTCGACCACCATTATGGTTATCGCAAAAAAAAAAACAGAGGTAAAAAAAAATAAACGGTAACCTGGTTGCACGAAGTGAATTGGCTTGTTTTACAACGTCGTTGCCATGCGACGAAAACCCAATCCCAACGGCAAACACCGAGGGGGGGCTTGTTTTACAACGTCGTTGCCAAGCGACAAAAACCCAACCCCGATTTGGGGGGAGTAGAGTTATGGGGAGTGATAAAAGGGAACGGGGTCCTTCTCGTCGTAAGAATACGTAACCTCTGAAGGCGTTCTATCGGTATTTTGGGCCAACGGGTTGTTGTTGGGGACTATCCCAAGGTTGTATGTTGTTGGTGGATATCGTCCAAGGAGCAGCTTAATGTATGTTTCCGAAGCGTAGTGGGATACGGGTAGTCGGGTGGTATTCGCTCAAACCAAGCGCGATGCAGATCCCAGAGCTCGACAAAATACATGTTTTTACAAGAGGGGGCCTGTTTCCAAGGGAAATTTCGTTGAGAAACGGGATTTTTCTAACTCAGCCGAGGTTTTCAGATCTCATGACAACCACCCCACAAACTCACCCACGAGTTGCGCACCTTGGTGACAGGAGAAACATATCGACAGCACGGTCGTTCTTGCCACAATCTGTTCGACGTGCAGCACGTACAGTCTCCTGTTCCTCGCTTGTTATCATCTCGAAATGCGGGAGTCTACACGCCTTGCCATTGTGTCCCAAGCACAGCG